CCCCCCCACTGCCCCCAGAGCCATCCCCTCACCCCACATCCCCAGCTCCGCCCTTACCCCCCGCTGCCCCAGAGCCCCCCCACCCCACATCCCCTCTGTGACAAAATGGGAATGTTCTTAATGTTCTCTCTAAATACTGTGTGAGTGCCTCAGTTTCCCCTATGCAGTTCTTAATCTAGCTGGGGGGATCAGGGGGTGTGATTGGTGCCAGCTGAAGGTGCTGGAGAACAAAGGGATCGGGGCCTCCTGGCCCGGGAGAGAGACAAAGGCCAGAGGAGGGGCCGGGGGGGCTGGAGAGTTTCAGTTTGGAGCTGGCTGGGGAAGGGGAGGGAGCCCCAGGGCTGGGGTCTAAGCTCCCTGCCCCCCAAGATGGACCCGGCTGAGGGGTCCTGGTCTCTGTCCCTACGAGTTCTGGTTTAGACTGTTCCTGTCGTCTAATAAACCTCCGTGTCCCCGGCGGGCTGAGAGTCACGTCTGACTGCGGAGTGGGGGGGCAGGACCCTCTGGCCCCCCCAGGCCCCTGCCCGGGCGACTCGCTGTGGGGGCACACGGGGGGGCAGGGGAGGCCGAAGGCTCCAGGGTCAGACCCAGGAGGTGAAGCCGTGGGAGCTGCTGGCCCTGGAGACGGTCTGTGCCGAGAGGAGACTCCCAGAGTCCTGCCTGGCTTTGTGGGGAGCAGCTCCAGCATCGCCCGGGGACCCCGACACCCTCACCCCCCAGCCCCGCCCCAGAGCCCCCCTGACCCCCCCGCCCCAGAGCCCCCCTCACCTCTTGACGTCCCCGTGGATCAGGCTGGGCGTGTCCCGGTGCAGGAACTGGACCGCTCGCGCTGTCCCCACCAGCACCTCCAGCCGCTGGGCCCACGACAGGGGGGGGCACCCGCCCTGGGGGAGCAGACGGGGTGAATGGGGGAGGGGTCCCCCCACACTGGAGGATCCTGCCCGGGGGTCCTGGCTGCTCGACTCTCCCTGCCCCAGCCTGCCCCCCCCTCCTCCCGCCCGAAACTCCCTGCTCTGCTCTCCTGATCCCCCCCCCCCCATTTACACACCCCAGGGTGGCACCAGCACTCGGCCCCGCGGCCAGGGGGGGCTCCCAGCTGAGTGCCCCCCCCCATCTTCACCAGCCGCTTGGGGGGGGCAGGCACCAGGGGGGCTGGCTTGGGGGGGCAGATACCGGGGGGGTTGGGGGGGCAGACACTGGGGGGACAGGCACCGGGGGTGCTGGCTTGGAGGGGGCAGATACTGGGGGGGTTGGGGGGCCAGACACTGGGGGGGGGGGGCAGACGCGGGGGGGGGGTACCTGGCCGCTCAGCCGATCCTCCAGGGACCCGTTGGGCATGAAAACGTAGACGAGGCAGAAATGGTCCCGCTCGGCACAGAACCCCCCGAACTCCACGATGTTGGGGTGCCGGAACCTGGGGGGGCAGGAGTTAGTGGGGGAGGGTCACCCCAAATTCCTGGGGCCAGGGTGAGCGCAAAGCATTCTGGGTAGGTCCCAGGGCACTGGCCCCACTGGAGCCCCTCATTCCCAACCCGCAGCCCCTGCCCCCCAGCCCTGCCGTTGCCCCTCACTCCCGACCCGCAGCCCCCCCTCACCGTGACAGTTTTTCCACCTCGGTGAGGAAGCTGCTCCGGATGCTGCTCCAATCTAGCTCCGTGTCCTGGGGGGATGGGGAGGGGGGTTAACGAGCGTCAGGTCACCAGTCCCCCACCCCCAGGGGACACGGGGAAGGGGAGGGGGCAGAGCAGGCCCCAGCGCGAGTGGGGGGCTCAAAGGATTGTGGGTACCTCCCTGGCAGGCCGGGGCTAGTGAAGAGGATTGTGGGTAGGTCAGTGAGACAGGGGGACTGCAAAGGACGCTGGGTAGGGGCCCCCCGTACCTCCTTGAGCCGCTTGACAGCGTAGTCCGTGTTGCGCAGTCGGGCGCGGTACACGCAGCCGAACCCACCTTCCCCGACCTTGTGCTGCTCCGCGAAGCCGCCCGTGGCCTGCACCAGCTCCGCCAGGGGCCAGGCGAAGGGTTGGGGGGCGGGGCCCAGCACCTGGGGGACAGGGCCCAAAGTCTGCAGGGGGAGAGAGAGACACACACAGGGGTAGCTCAGACCCCCGCCCCCCCGCAGCCCAGGGTGCTAAGGATTCTGGGTAGGACCCAATCAGCCCCCCCCCCCCCCCCCAGTGATGTCCCCCGTTATCCATCCCCGCCCCCCTACTCAGGACTCCTCCCTCCCGCCCCTTCCCGTGTCGGTACCTGGTCGGCAGGGGGTGCCGCGGGCGGGGGGACAGGACCCTGGCTGCTGAAGCTGAGCAGGCCGCTGGGCGGGGGGCCGGGCAGAGGCAGCGAGGGGCAGGAGGGCTCTGCGGGGGGTGGGGAGGAGGCAGAAACAGGGAGTCCGTTAGCTCACCCACCCCAGACTCCCCCACCCCCAGGGGGATGGGCAGATCGAGTCCGGTCCAGGCAGCTCCCCCACTGGGGGAGGGGGCGGAGTTACCTGGCAGGGGCTGGGGGGGTGGCTTGGGGGAGTCACAGGCAATGGTCGAAGCTCTGCTGTCACCAGTGGTGGGGTGGGGGGCTGGAGGTGCCGAGGGAAGAAACGGGGGTCTCAGGACGGGGGGCTCGGAGGGAGGCTGCCCTGGGAAACAAAACAGGGGGGTTAAAGATGGGAGCGATGCACAAAAGAACCTGCCCCCACTAAGCTGCCAGCCCTAAGCTTCCCCCCGAAATACCCCCACCCCCC